TCACGCATGACATGCTTCCTTCTCAAGAATCGTAGTTTTATCACATCATTATTCCATTACAACAATATTTACTTTGTTAATGAGGAATACCGATGCTGCCGAGACTGTTTTTTCACCGAGGTCATTCTGACTACTAATTAATAGGGAAAACTGTTCTAGACAGTTTCCATGCTGCTGCTCACTCATTAGCTTGCTCATTGTTTTACACTGTTTCGTACCATTGGTGCTTTCTCTCGCTCTACACTTACCAGGCACTGTTTTTGGTTCAGCCTATGTTAAGGACCACGTTTTGTGACACCTCTAGAAGCAGCGCCGTTCGTTGTTACATGCTACCACAATTTTTCAATGTGAAGGTCTATCTCTGGCGATTCGCAAGAATCTCATTTAAGCACTTCGCAAAGAATTTAGGGAACACTGTGCCGTTGCGGTTGACCACCCAAAGCTGTTCTCTTCTAAACTCTGGATTTTTTCCTCTCCATGAAGTGCATTCTACATCCCAATAAGTAGCTGCTAGGAGATGCCTTTTGTAACGAGGAATGATTTTCAAAACGACCTCTCACTTCACTGATGTAGTTTTTATGATATACTGTACAGTTGGAGGATATTGCAATCGCTGTTCCTCCCTTCTCATTTCAGCCCTCACCCAAATTATCTTGTTGAAAAAACTTTTCTTGTAGAAGTCCGTACTAATCATCTTTCACCTTATTCTCCCCCACAACACTGGAATATAAATGGTGCTGCGTCTTTTAATCACAACTTTGGCATGGTCACAACGCCTTATTGAGAATTACTGCCCATCCGCAGTGATAAAGGAAACCCCAACTGTTCTCGGCAGGGTGGAAGAAATGCTCACCTTTTGTAACTCTCCTCGTTTGTCTCGTTAAGGAAAGCGATCGATTCCAGTAGCGATGCTATCCTTCCACGGTTAGGACAAAGGTCGAAGAGGGCAGCTCACCTAAGTGAGAGACAGGCGGGCATCCTAAGAATGCGGACCGCTATGCAAATCGCATCAAAGGATATCCCTGCGGCGATCTAGAATGGCCTCTCTCGCAGCTCAATTGGCCGTCATTGTCGCGTCTTCTCGTGTCGCAGTTTCTAGCCATTTAGCAAAGCAAGGGTTAGCTGAACAGGATAGCGCAAGGGCGCCGCATCAATGGGCATGGAAGGGGTAATAGCTCTCAAATACTAGCCCTTTCCGGGCTATGCGGGTCCTCTGAATGCCAGGACGATGCGCGTTGCTCAGCGGAGAAGATGCTCACAGCGTACATGCTCGTACCTGAAAGAATACAACAGAATCATCCACCACTGATTATCAAGGAGCAGGCGGAATGATAGCGAATACAATTCCTAGTTATGTCTATGGAAAGGACGTGTTGCGCTCCAAATTCGTCTCTGTTTCCATTGCACGCATATGATATACGAAACGTATACGTGTGCCATTCATATTGTTATTATGTTCGCAGCATATCTCGGCTGCCTCCCCACTCATTGGAGATTGTTGCTGTTACTTTCGTTTGAAATGGTGAGCTTGTTTGTTTGGAAATAACTTTACCTTAAAGCAACAATCCAAGAACGAATTCGCGGGCAAAAACCACCGATAATGAAGTTGTAGGTGAAAAGTTGACAATAATGAAAGAAAAAGTAAAAAAAACGTCGAACAGGGACTTAGACAGGGACTCCCCTCTGCCACTTAGCAATGGAGGAAGACGCTTGTTGGACGAGTTGTCCGAACATGCCCGCAGTAAATGCGCCCCAATTGCAATTGCTGGCAGCAAAGCTGGCTACTTGCCAGCAATTGCAATTGGGGCGCAATAATGAAATCGTTTCATGTTTTGAAGGTAGAAGGTAGAAGGAAAAAACGTAGAAATCCAGCGTAGTCGGCATCACCACATCGATTGCTTCAAAGGATCGACCTCAAATAGTCCCGGTGGTCCCGAAACGACCGCAAATGTCTGCGCAGCCAATCACGCACTCTTCACGACAGAAGTGGGCGGCCGTACCGAGGCTCGGTGGATCCGCCCACTTCGACGGCGTTAGACCCCCTTCCAACGCCTTTCAAAGGTAAGTTTTCAAATCAGTGACATTTCCTATGTACTTGACTAGGGCTAGTGCATGTTTCCACCCCTTAGGATCGAATGGTTGAAATCCTGCTTGGACTACTGCTTTAAGAACGACAGCAATGGCCTCGAACACAGAAGTGCTCACTCTTTCCATTTATCACGAAAGAATCGAAACTGAGTCTGAATCTATTGAACCCAAATTGTTTCAACAATCTGTTTAGGGTTCTCATGGTAGCGTCACTACCAGGAAACGTACTCGGTAATACGACCGTACGTGATTCGTTTCATATCATCCTAACGCCTTTCACATACTGCCTACTTATATTTATCATATATGGAATTCTTAGCCTGCTTGTGACACTGAAGATCGTTCATGGAATTATCAATCCGAAGTTCAAAAGCTTCTTTCAGAAAGCCGTTTTTCTGTCTGTTCACACATAACTGCATTGTGGTAAGTGAAAGTTTACGGCATATTTATCGACTGAATTAACGCTGCTCACCAGGCATAAATTGTTACACCGCATCAATCATTTCTCATTAATGTGCAACATCGGTACGTACAAGTGCTCGATCACTACTATAAAGCCAGGTGTCTCTAGAGTGGCATGTAGGCGTTGGTTTTCGACAGTGTCACTTCTCCGATCACAAATGGATTGAATCCCCTGTTTATGTTAACCTTACTTGTAGTTCCTAGCTCTTGAGATCACAGGGTGGTCACAACTATGATAAGGAAGTAGAGAACGCAAAACCCTTTCGAGTTGAAACTTGATGAAACTCTGTGAGAATAGATTCGGCAGATTTTAGATAAGATTCGTTGCAATGGAGAGTGACACGATCATTAGATGTGGTTGCCTCCGCCCTGAATTGCAACTCTCAGGATGATCGCGTGCGTTTTCGACGGCTGCACGTAGCACGTCAGACACTTGAAAGATTTGGCTCAACCTCAACCAGAAGGTCGTCTCTGTGTGTGGAGGTGCTAGGTCCGCAGTTGTACAGGTGCGACAACCTAAAACCTGCGCCTTACTAAGCGCCAAGCACCCACAACTTGAACCGCCAACATCCGGTTAATCCGTACCTGCCCATCATTCAATACCTTTCTAAGATATCTTTTGAGTAGCCGAGGTCGCTTCTGGAAGTTTCTTTACGCTCTCCTCAACTCACACCCTCTCTTACCTCGCTGTCTGCCTCTTAAACTTCTCCGCAGTGCCAAGCGGGGTTCGTATTATATGTCCTGTGTTTGTTTGTCAAGGAGAAATTGTTCGAAGGATTATTTCACGATAAGAACGAAGTTCTTAATGGGAAAATTGCCTAGTTGGAGACAGGCGGACCTCCTGAGGGTGCGGACCGACGCGCAATTGGCAGCGAAAGATTTGACCTCGGCGATCTAGCATGGCTCACTCTTGGCGCAGTTGGCGCGGTACGCCCACCGACATAGCAGAGAGAGCGTTAGCGTTGAAGAGGGCACGATGAGAGTCGCATCAATGCGGAAATCAACGGGCAAGGAAGGGGTCCCATTTCTCGGGTTCCGGGCCGTTTCTCATGGTTCTTTCTTTCGTGTTTCACTGACCATCGTTAATCAATTTTAATCTCTTCTTGTGCAAATTCCGCCTCTGATGTACATGAGCAACTGGAAACTTGGAGTACACACTGCTTGCATCAGGATTCTTAAAACTGCTGACAAATAGGTGTTTCTTGCAATCCTCTCTCCACTTTTGTAATGGTTGGGTTGATTTTTGAAACCTGATGACATGACATGACTAGGTTGTGACTCGCGAGTGAAAGCATGCTCAAGTCAAGAGTGCAGCGCCAATATTCCCAAAACTATCTCTAGGTTTCACTGAAAGGCCAATTAATTTGACGACCATTCAGGAATGCTAATGGTGAAAGTGGAGCCCGCCTTACAAAATGCGCCTACTCGAAAAATTTGAAAGAAAATCAATGAACAACGCAACGCATGTGAATGAAGATCTTATCATTCGTGAAGAATCCTACTATATATAATCGGCTGATCGTGTCTGTTGGTGTGTGTGTAGTTTGACCGGAAATTCGTGACTCGGGTCACAGTAATGATAGCGCCATGGCTTGCACATCTGCTATAGAGAGGGACGTAAATGGTGAGTGATATAAAGTCATAACGATGCGTAATAACTTCGTATAGCATACATTATACGAAGTCTAGAAGCTACAGAGCTAGAAGCAAGAATCGCAATTCCGTTTTGTCTTCATGGCGGAACCGAAAAGCGTCATAGGATCTTGCAGGGGTGTTATGCTGAGAGGAACAGGGGACATGTGTGGGTGAATTGAAAGTGTGATTGCAACTGATAAGGGCTGATAAGGCGCGTCAGAACGCAAAAGTCGTCGATTCCGTTACGCAGCTTGCGTTGACACTAGAGCGTCCCTACTTACAAATTCTATTTGTAGTGGTACGTGCACATTGTATCATTGTATGACCAGCTTACTTGAATAGCAGTCGATTGCATAAACTCAATCAAGTCTTCACAAAACGATAGGTTTCATTTCTATTGGGTTGTCTCATAATTCCTGTCGCATTTCTATTCAATTTCAAATTCTTCCGTCTAAGACCGTTTCATTGCGAAATACGTTAGTATGTTGAAGTATGCTTCAAGAGCCTTAACAGCATGGTTTCGGAAGCGCAAGCCCTAACGGGTTAATCAACTAGGAATAAAAATAGGTCAGTGACTGCAATGAATGATTATGCTTTACGATCCTCAAATGAACTCTGTAGCAAGGAGGACAACAGAGAAGACCAGCGCTGTGTTTGACTCAGTCTCTGCTACTGATAGGGTGTGAAGTAGGATTCAAACCATATGGTCCGGCCGACCATGAGCGAGAAGCACGCCTGACCATCTGGGGAAAATTCATTCTGGGACGGCAAAAGCAGAGCCTTCCCTAATCGGTCACCAGTGGAGATGAGTCATGAGTCCACTGCGACAACAACATGCGGCACGTCTGATGGCTACCTCGCAGCCAGGAAGCACCAGCTCAACCAAAGCCCGAACTCCGTTTTCTGAGAATATCGCTCTCGTTTTGTTGGATTCGCTAGGTGGCCTGGTTTGGGAACCACTTCAATGTATGAAGACAAGCATTGCTAAAGTCAGCGCGGAATAGCCCTCTAGGCTGGCTTCGGGGTTGCGAGGGAATCGTCAGAAACGTCTCAGATTCTCCTTTCTCCGAATGTACGCCAGACCTCACATTGCAATGCCAACTCACCACGTTCTGAGGGAGATAGCCAGGGCCACGATACCTCATCCACCATATAGCATTGGCATCGCTCTATCGGACTATCGCCTCCCCTGCGCCCTGAATAAGCATCTGCCAGAGAAGAAAGTTAAAGATTGCGACCACCCCAAAAACGACTTCTCCAAATTCTTCAACCCCAGCTTCCTTCATTCTGGGCTGGAAGCTTCCAAACGCTCACTAGCAAATGCACGCATATCAGTGACCATGATGGTGGTTATGCTATTGATCAGTTGTTTCCTAGAAGAGATAAAACTTGAATAAACAAAAGTGTCGAAATTGAGACAGGAATTATGAGACAACCCAATAAATCCATATCAAGAAAGCCCAAACTCATTGAAACCGCTAATCCTTTCGGGGTTCTAAATAATGGTGAATGTAAATAAATGATAAGCCTTAGCTCCTCACTTATGTAAATAGGCATATTTCATTTTCATTTTGAGACTGACAGCAATCCTATTCACCGCTAAATTATCTGAATTCAAGAAGAATGCTGGATGTTTACAGTTGTGAGTATAATATGTATACCAGTTCAGCTCCAGACGTTATCACGCGTACTCGATGGACTTCAGCGAAGCGATTTTCAGAGCGCACTCTTCTTTGTGATAGACTTTTTCACGATCAGAGTACCAATCTCGGGACTGATCACAGGCTGGTTGACCACCCTCCCATCGGGCCGATATCTTACTGCAATATACGTATTACAATTTTATCTGTTATACATCACTCTATATTCTGCAACATTCCTGTCGATCACGAGAGCCATAATTATTTGTTTACCATTAAAGGGCAACAAGGTAAGAGAATTTGAATGAAAAATTCTGCAGACCTCACTCTTGGTAAATCTTTTTCTACAGCTTGTATCTGCTTGGATACATAGAAACAGAGCCCACGATTGTTGATCTGACAGAGTCAGTAATACGGAGTAAGTGTAGAAAGTAGAGATTTTCAGATAAACAATCAAATAGCGACGGCGGCAGAGTGACCATTCAGAAAGTATCGGAATGGAGTAAGGTGCTCCAAGTGTTACAGCTTAGCTCTGCATCTTTATGGCACCCTTGTAGTCAGCTGATTGAATGGTATTAACTTGCTAGCATTTTGAGAGAAATAAAATGCTTCTAACATGGTTATGGGTATATTCCATTTTCTGTTTGTATTCCACTGCGCCTTTACACTCCGAGTCCAGTTATAAATTCGTAACGCGGCAAACCTTGACGGATGGAGAGCACGGGTCACAGAGCGCCAGATTTCCGTACCGCATTATTATTCTAAGCAGATTTCCGTGCAACACAATTATTCTAAGCAGCGTTTCCACCACGATTACCGCATGGAGAAATCAAGTCATTCATAGGAATTTCACAAGTCTTGCATAAGGGATGGTCCCTTAATATCTTTTATTGCATTTCTGCCATTCATTGGAAATTGGTTCGCTCGATAACGAACGATGAGCGCTGTCAAAGAGGAGATAATGCAAACTATGAATAAGGAAAACTGGTACGGGCAGGTCTCAGGAATGAAAGCGATAAATGCACTCTTGTTGCGCGCTGTCGAGTCGTGACACTGCCAGAAGTTCTTTGCTTGACAACCTCGCCCGATCTCAGAGAGAGGGTCGCTTAGGAGCTTATCGCGACCATTGGCTTGAAGAAGGGAATTTCAGACATTTTCAGGTGATCAGGAAGTTTCTCCCCATATTTTTCTTGACTATTTACTTCCTGCCGATACTGACCACGTGGTTCCTCTATCCAGCAACCACTTATTTAAGAATCGGACCACAAATACCGGCTTTCGGTTATGGAGCAGGCTTTGACTACAAGAAAGTTTATCCAAACGTTTGTGCTTCTTTACTCTTGATTTTTTGTCCGTACTCAGTACTTGTGTATCAGTACTTTATGAGCTTACGGAAAAGTCTCAAACTTAGCATTTCTCGTGTAGAATTCATTATTGCAATTAATTTACAATTTTTCTAGTGGACTCGTAGTGTTCCTTTCAGTTAGACATGATATGTAACCGCTCTATTGCAGTGGAGGAACAGCCTGTGCATTGTGCTTGCCACCTGCACCTGCTCAATCGTCTTTCTGGTGTGCTATGGTATAGTAATAGTAAAGCTTCATCGTACTTCCAAGAGGTAGAATTATTAGGTGTTTCAGAAAGTTCTGTCGTTTTCTGACACTCCACTTTTGGATGCTTTATTTCCCTTGAAATCTGGGAAAGCTGCAATTGATGTTGATATCATTTTGAAGAGCTTTTCCAGCTCTATCCAATGCTTAGCTCAACTTTGTCCTAAAATATTTTCTTATAGCTTTTTCAAAGCTTTGAATGCGGTATACTCGATGAGCAAGTTGGCATGACTTTCTTTTTCTAGCTTTAAATAGACCTGAAAGTGGCGGGAACAGTTCAAGATATTAACGATGCTTTGGGCCTAGATTTGCAATAAATGTGCTCAGAAGCAGTAGTTAAAAAATTTATTGTAACGAAGGCGAGAGCCTTGAATATGATGAGAGTAGTGGTCGGATATCGGACGGTGTCTCCGATTAGCCAAAAGTTCTGATTGAAGCACTCGTGCGTAAGAGGAGGTTCTGCCCAACCTGGGCGTATATGGTTTGTACAGCCAAGCTATACGGAAGAAGCTGGAAAGTCCAAAAAATTTGATAGGGGCGTGCCGCGACAAATCACCAATTTGAAGGGTCGTCCATCAAATTGTTTGTTTTATGTGATAAAAGCGACTCGTTTCTCTACAGATTTGCGACGTACAATAAAGAGCAGGATTCTTCTCTATAGTCTACGAAGGTTTGCTGAATAGATCGACGGCGATGAAGCTCTACAAACTTTGCAGAATTTAAACTGTGCTGGAGGAGGGTTGTGGTAGCTTTCCTGGGTCAGCCAGCTGGCCATGTTCTTCATTATCAGTGGAGCTGCTTACAGTAGGAGAATCTAATCTTTATATTAAGTCAAAAATCATCAAAAACTCTAGGCATGGGTCCAGCATTCCTCATTATAAAGGAACGCACACATCCCTGAAAGGTGTCTTGAACGCACATCGCACGGCCAACCCTTCACAAGTTGTACCAGCTGAACTTCAGAGTGGTTCTGCGAACATCTTACTTAGTAGACCTTTGAACTATCTACTGTCAAATTTCTGACGATCTCGATAGCTTCCTTGAAGAGAAATACATCAAAAACCCAACATGATGCTAAAACGACCTTCCCTCAGTTCATCGCCTCCAGAGGTCCAGCATTCCAAACAAACGTACCCTGTTGAACGGCTTCTTATAGAACAAGATTCGCGCACCTAACGTTTTTTTTTTTTTTTTTTTTTTTTTTTTTTTTTTTTTTTTTTTTTTTTTTTTTTTTTTTTTTTTTTTTTTTTTTTTTTTTTTTTTTTTTTTTTTTTTTTTTTTTTTTTTTTTTTTTTTTTTTTTTTTTTTTTTTTTTTTTTTTTTTTTTTTTTTTTTTTTTTTTTTTTTTTTTTTTTTTTTTTTTTTTTTTTTTTTTTTTTTTTTTTTTTTTTTTTTTTTTTTTTTTTTTTTTTTTTTTTTTTTTTTTTTTTTTTTTTTTTTTTTTTTTTTTTTTTTTTTTTTTTTTTTTTTTTTTTTTTTTTTTTTTTTTTTTTTTTTTTTTTTTTTTTTTTTTTTTTTTTTTTTTTTTTTTTTTTTTTTTTTTTTTTTTTTTTTTTTTTTTTTTTTTTATTTTTAATTTAAAGGTTCAGTTTAAGCGCGAGATGCGTGCATTTAAAATTAGGGGTTGGAAAACGACAGAACTTTTTGAAACTTAAAGAGAAAAAATTTCGCTGACGCTGCAAATGTTATTTGTGCACAAACGCCCCTCGACAATTTGTTGAAGGCTTGAAGGTCCATAGATTCGCGTTTCTATTCCCTGGAGACCACCTAAGAACCTAAACAACGCCAATTTTTCACTTTCCGGAGGTTGCACAATGTGTGCCAAACCGACATAGTTATACGAATAAAAAGAATCTGCACTATGTTGATTTTGCATTCATTTCTGTTGAATTTAGGATTAATTTTTATTTTTTTGGGGGCGGAAGTGGTGTAGTGACAAGTGGCGCGCTCACCACGCGAGCGGTCCGGGATCAAATCCTGGGTCGTGAGTCGCCGGGCCAACCAAGCCTTCCATCCCTCCGGGGTCGGTTAATTGGTACCAGACTTGTCTGGGAGGATAAAAACACTGACTTGTACATCGGCTGGCCCCCGCAAGTCATTGTATAGGCCACATCGCATTCAAAAGCCACTACGAATGTACAAATGGAAGTAGAATGCGTGCCGCATCCCAAAAGGGATTGATCAACGGCAAATGCTTTATCCTTTATCCTTTAATGCTTATTGTTTTAAGGATCAACAGTGCTTGTGAAGAACGAGCAGATGTGAGAGTGTAATGGCTGTGTGACAGGGATTTCATGTAAATTAAGTCGAGCTGAAGAGGAACTGTTTTTTAAATCAGTTCACTTGGCCTGAGTTGGCGCTCTCCTCACTCATGATGCTCAAAATAGAGCACACAATCACTTGACTGGCAGCAGCCGGTGAGATTCCAACTCAAACATGCAGGCGATCTCTTACGCAGCGATTTTTTTCATATGCAGAAAAGGTCAAGTATATTCGGCACCCCCCTATACAAAATGAAGTGTGGGAATTGATCGAAGAGTTGGGGTAAAAGTGGTTGAAATTCAGGAAATTTTGGTAATTTTTTCTGTGTCTTTTTCATAGTGGGTATACATACCCACCATACTTACAGCCAGCTCGGACGCACATTTTTGAAGAAAAAAGATGGCCGGGAGTTTTGGGGTTTTGTGTGGCTACCAGAATCAAAATAACTATAAAGAGAAATCGTGTCGGGTCGAAAAGAGCGGTCGTCACCAAGCGCACTGGGGAGGGGAACGTAAAAAAGATGTATTTTAGAAATGAGTAACAACGATGGACTGACCTGGTCGAAATCGTAGGCTCGGCGTAATTTCAGTGCACTGTAGTACTGGCGGCGCTAATGGCTTTCTAACCTTAATGTCTACCTAACATTTTCTAATCCACGAAACATACGCGTCTAACATTTCTTTCAGTTCCTAAACAATCGAGCCTTCCAGGTGGGTGAACAGCCGAGTGCCGGAAGCTCGCTGGTCGTTTCTGCACCTTCACCACTTGTATTTGCATGCTCACCCTCGCTTTCACAAATGTAAGGCTTTTTCACGCGAACACAATATGTGGTTCATAAGGACCATGTGGGCCAAATGAGACGAAATGCGTTCCTGAACTGGTCAAGATACTGGTCAAGTATCGGAACCTGACACTGGTTTCGTCAACCTTCGCTCATATACCATGGGAGTATTTTGAAAGGATTATCTTTGGGTTTGATAGCGATAAATTAAACGAAAAAACATCTGAAGATTCGCAACTAGAGATTCATATATAGTACTAGTATTAGCGTGCACTTGATGATATCTCTTAGTTAGTCCTGTTACAGTTGTGCTTCTTACTTTATTACGACATTCTTTTGGAGTACATGCTTCGACCATTTCAAGTGGACTTGCTCTTATTTCTGCCTATATGGGTACTGTACTTCACACACTACCGGGCTTGTCAAACGGAGAGCAGATGCACAAACTTCTCGAGTACTGGTCAATTGCGTGGTCTCACTTTTCACTCTCCAAACAGAAGTTATGCTAGAAATGGCGCATTAGCACATGGAACAAAGTCCACATACAACGAACTATGAAAGTTTTATTATCAACGCATCATGTTTGTGAAGTGAATGCACACCTATGCTTCGAGCGGTAATAGTTTATCATGATCTGTACTTGAAAAGCGAGGCTGCGCAAGTGACGTTCTGTGAAAATACGTTCGCCCCGCAAGCACATCCAGTATACCCGTTAATGACCTCTGCGAGGTACTAGAGCGCCTTGATGTCATACGCATTGAAAGGATATCCTTCTACTGAGCACACTCATCACGTCCATTTCAGCCATAATTCACTGACTTGAGACCCATCATCCACGATAAGAATGAAAAGAACAGAAAAATTGCATTTGGTAAAAAATTCGAAAAATCGAAAGGGCTGCTACGCGTTCAAAGTGCCCACGGACGTCTTTCACAAATGCTGGCGACGGGGATGCTTCCACTTGGTTCTTGGAGTGCAAAACTCTTTCTGGCCTTCTGCTTTATTGCATTCACATCTTACACTTCTACTCCATCCTATTCTATCGATCGATTTGTCTCTACTCTCCGAAATCGCGCGCTTTAACCCGATTCTTTCATTGCGTCGCCTGATACGTAGCGCCCCAGTGCGGACTTATTCCATGCCCGCCTTTGGCTCCGCCCGAATTACCTTCGATTGTCCATAGAATGGATTTTCGTGAGTTTGTTTCTCTTCGGAAACCGAACCTTCATGCGTAAAACTTTGTGTATTGCATCTAGTGATCACAACTGATACATTCATGTTGAAAAAGAATGCAAGAATTTTCCGCGAAGGATTCCTTTAAATTCACTCGCTCGAAAAGTCAAATTATTTCCATACGAAAGACCTCCTTTGTAAAGTGTCTACACAGTCAGCATCGGCTCTGAAGGAAACGATTAGGAAGGGCCGCATCGGGAGAGTTTATGCGCCATGGTTGAAAAAGAACGGACAATTAATGGAAGCGATTCCGCTGGCTTCCACGTGGATCGGCGAACACCACGTTATCAACCAGTAAGGTCGGAGGTACAGTGCGCGTTTATTGCTTATGCCACCCCCTGATTGTTCAGTTTTCTGACTTGCTTGGAAATTTCGTAAATCGGCAGCAACCATCGTTTTCGGCGTGTCGGAAAACTAAGAATGGTGTTGTTTGATT